AGATCCATTGATTTTAAGCAGTCGTTATTGCTAAGAATATCTTAATGACATGTATAATTTGTAGTGCCTCCGATCAACGCATCAATTGAGCGTTTCCCGTCCCGTCACATAGAATAGATCAAGGATATGACCGCAAAGATAGTCTGGGTTTGGAGTTCCATATCCATGAAGCTAGTATCCACTTATTTGAAAGGAATCAAGCAGCAGCAGAAGCAGAGGCAACAATATTTATCGACGATCGAGTCACTTATGGAAATAAAGATTGTAGTTAAGCAGCATTGTGGGTTTGTTATCATCCCATACTTACTCTAAGGTTTTGGAGCGATTGAAGGTGAAAGCGTTGAAGAGAACAGTTGAAAGTGAAGACGTTGAATAAGAGTCAATCCACCGTAGAGATAGAGACTATTACATGAGAAATTTATATTAACTTACGAGATAAAAAATGCATCATGAAAGCATATACATAAAATTATTAAAATCTAAATATCTAGACCACTGTATTTCCAATTTACATAACATATTAAGCTAAATATCATGAAGGCATAATAGTATATTATAATATACAAAATACAATAATAATATTATTATATACAAAAACATTTTGTATGTAATAATATTATTATTGTATTTCCAATTTACATAATAGATAAGCTATAGAGTCATTGAATTAGTAAAAGCAAAAGCTTCGAAGTTAAAAACAGAAAAGCAAAATTGGGTTTTAGTTTCAGAGATGGGTTTTGGCCTTGGGAATCAGATTAAGCTTCAAAGAGTCATTGAATCAGTAAAGCTGAGGAGTAAGATCAGGAAAGCATCAAGTGAAAACGAAAGCTCTCACCAGCTGTTGCAGATGGAGACAACGATGTAGTTGTAGACGACAAGTCTTATTTATGAGGTTTGAGTGAGGAAAAATAGGTAAATCCGAATTTTATACCCAAAATCGTTATGGGTTTTTGTCAAACAATCGTTTTCGTTTAGCTAATTTGAATCAATCACGATTTTGTGCGGATTTATTGAATTTTTTTCTTCTTCTGATTATCATTCGATTTTAGTTTGAAACGTATCCGAAAAGTAGGATACTCGTATCTCAACATTATCATACGCATATCTCATCAATAAACAATGTATCCCTTCACTTCGATACGTATCCATGCGTATCCTCTGCATATCTGTATCCATGCGTGTCAGATATGGATACGTTAGCTTTCCCCCGTGTCCATGCATTGTAGATAATAGGTAATCCAATCATCCTCACACCCTTTAGTTTCTTCTTGGTAGAACAAGGAATATGCCAATGCGGTGGACCTCGACTAGATGACCTGGGCCTGAAGGACATGCCTTGTGGCTTATTTAGTCAGACATGAAATAGAATCAACTAGAACGCGTGATTCTGCTTCTGAGCCACTTTTACTGTAAAAAAAAAGACCTGAAAATGTTGTATAAGTGTTTCCATCGCCGTTCACTATTTTTGCCACAAGTACAAGAACAAGAAAGATTATGACTTACTTATTCGGGGATAACTCTTTAAAGAAAAGTTCTAGTTTGATCCACTATACTCCTGTCAGCAGGATCCACCTGTGATCCCGTGTGTTAGGTTTCCTCAGTACAGATTAGTGGAAGAAGACGGTGAGTGATTAGTCTGTGAGACGGAGTTCAATGGAAAAAATAATGATGGGTTGTTATGGTTTCAATTCCATGACTCAACAGAAGGAAATCTTCAAACCTAAAGAACTCGGCAAGGTCGGAATGTACGTCTGCAGTATCACTACCTATGCCCTAAGCTGTCTTGGCCACGCTTGAGAGGCCGTCAGTTTTGGCATCCTGTTTGTACCTAAAATCAAACTATTGGCCCATGCAATTAGGTTCATAGAGTGAGCATAGCTCCGCATCGTCGGATGGATAGGTGAATTCAAGTTATTTCCAATCGAAAACAATAACAACAAAGTTCAAATTAACTTGGGTTTGCTGGCAGTGGACGTGTAGGTTGAAACAGCTTGGAGTAGGATATCAGCATGTGGGATTTGATGATCACCTAAAGGAAAATAATGGTCTTGGATAATGATGAGATAAGAAACCTAGGTAGGCTAGGCTTTTTTGCATGGTGATGGATGTTGTCAAATGGGTTTGAAGTGATAAGAATTGATGATGGGGCGGGGTCACAATGCATTTCGTGTGAAAGGGTACTTTGAGATTTCAAAGTTCTCTTGTAAAAGTCTATGGGCATAAGGAGACTAGGGAGATTTTTGCCGAAATATGTCAAAGATAATATTAGTTATTTTGATATTGTTTTTCGGAGTACATTTGGAGAAGGTCTCCATTGGATTGGCAATCAAGGAGACTCGACTATAAATACAAAGTTGCAAACAATGTGAAAAGCTCTCCAAATCAACACACAAAATTGTCATGCGCAAACTCTTACTTTATGTGAAACTTTTTAAACATTTTGAGATTTTTATTTTCTTTTTTTCTCGCCTACATACCTTTAGTTTGGATAAACAACATTGTTTGGCGACTGACTGATTATCTATCCAAGTCTCATTCAGCAAGGATGGTCATCTATCTATCCAAGTCTCGATCAGCGAGGATGGTCATCTCATTAGCCTTCTCAACAAAGTGAGGTGTTACCAGGTTATGACATTCGGCACATTGAAAGCCGAATTTGATATTGAATTTCGCAGAACTAGCAGCTTTGTCTTCAGGCTCTAGAACCCAAAGGTTGAGACGTGTTCACTCCCGATGCCACATTAACATTCATTCACTCCCGACCGAAGAACTTAGTTAGCTTATTCACGTAGGCTAATTAGTTTTTAGGGTTAACACATCTTCAACGCATACTTAGCATTTGGGTAACAAGGTTACATAGGTTTGAAATTTCACTTATGTCGATGACAAGATAATTTGCGAAGCGAATAAACTCGGGGAGGATCCATTGATTTTAAGTAGTCGTTATTGCCAAGAATATCTGAATGACATGTATAATCTGTAGTGCCTCCTATTGAGACATCTAAACTAGTCACTAGTTTGTTATAACAGTAAATATTTAGTTGTGGTAATTGTGTAATTAGTTGTAGAATATAAGGGTATTGATGTAATGAGTCTGTGGCTATATATATACCTGTGTACTATCAGAATTATTCATTCAATGAAAATATCTTTTCAACAGAAAGAATTACAGTTTCTATGTGGTAATTTGTTCTCAAAAGTCATACTCCTGTCATGGTGCTTGTGTATGTTGATGACATATTAGTTATTGACCCTGATTCTTCCCTTTGTACTCTATTCATCCAAAAACTCAGTGCTGTTTTTCCAGTCAAAGATTTGAGTCCATTGCACTACTTCTTGGGATTAGAGATTCAATTCCACATGTATCTTCCTACATCAAACCAAGTATTTACTGGATCTTCTTAGAAAAACCAATATGGATGGTGCTAAGCCTTGTTGCACTCCATTTGGCTTTAAGAAACTAGATCACACAGGTCATCTTTTGTCCAATCCAACTAAGTATCAGTCTATTGTTGGTGGTTTACAGTATTTGATATGGATGCACCCAGATCTTTCTTTTGCAGTGAATCAAATCCGTTAGTTCATGCATGCTCCTCGAGACCAACACATGCAAGCTGCAAAATGGGTTCTTCGTTATCTCAAGGGCACTGTGTTTGAAGAACTATGGTTCAAAAAGGGTGCTACTAATCTCACAACTTTCTCAGACGCTGACTGGGCTAGCTGTCCTTTTGATCGACGTTCCACTAGTGGTTACAATGTATTTCTGGGATCTAATATTATTAGTTGGAGTGCCAAGAAACAATCCAATGTGGCACAGCCATCCATTGAAGCAGAATACCGTTCTCTAGCACACACTGTAGCTGAACTGACTTGGATATGCAAAATCTTTTGTGACATTGGTTTCCCACTCTCTCAGGTTCCTACCCTATGGTGCGACAACATTTCAGCAATCTCCCTTGCTTCCAATCCGGTGTTTCATGCTAGAACCAAACATGTGGAGATATATTATCATTATATTCGAGAATTGGTCTAGGCCAATCTCATCAAGGTTAACTTTGTTTGCAGTCAAGATCAATTAGCTGACATTTACACCAAATCTCTTTCCAAAAGTCGATTCAGCTATCTCAAATCCAAGCTTCCTCTTGGTTCCTCAATTGATCCCAAGCTCAGTTTGAGGGGGTGTATTGATACATCTAAACCAGTCACTAGTTTGTTATAACACTAAATAGTTAGTTGTGGTAATTGTGTAATTAGTTGTAGAAGATAAGGGTACTGATGTAATGAGACTGGCTATATATGTACCTGTGTACGGTCATAATTATTCATTCGATGAAAATATCTTTTCAACAGAAAGAATTACAGTTTCTATACCTCCGACCACCGCATCAACCGCACGTTTCCCGTCACATAGAACAGATCAAGGATATGACCGCAAAGATAATCTGGGTTTGGAGTTCCATATCCATGGAGGTAGTATCGAGTTATTTGAAGGGACTCGAGCAGCAGCAGAAGCAGAAGCAGAGGCAACAATATTTATCGTCGTCGATTCAGTCACTTCTGGAAATAAAGATTGTAGTTAAGCTTGTTCTGACTTCTGAGCATTGTGGGTTTGCTATCGTCCCATACTTACTCTGAGAAGGTGAAGGCGTTGAAGAGAGCGGGGCTGGCAGAAGACGATTGCTGAGCCAGATTAAAGAGAGAACAGAAGCAAGGAAAGGAGGAAATTTTGCAAAAGGTGATAAGATCAGAGCTGAATTGGCTGAAAAGGGCATCGCACTCATGGGCTTGGGGATGGGGACAACCACCTGGAGGCCTTTTGATCCAGTAAAAACAACAGAAGCAGCAGTTGGTGCTTCCTGGGCTGCGTTGGCGCCCCCCGCCCTGCAATCTTCTCTGCAGTCGTAATCTCCTTCTTCTCCATATGGGTCGTATCTAAATAATCCAACTTCTTTTCTTTTTCACCTGATTGTCAACACATAACTCAACAGGAAATGATGTAATCATTTTAAATATATAGTGATTTACCTAAACTACTTTTAAATTTATTGAAATTTTTGTTCAAATGTGCAAAAAACATGCCTTAAATCCTGAAATTTCTATCACACATCGATCGATATTGAGCCGAGCTCAAGTTTACTGCAGACTCCCGACCATGACTATTTCTAAAAGATAATAAGGTAATTACATGATTAAATTTATACTCCACAGGCAAACACCAAAAATACTGACAGTTCTTGAAACCTCAGAAACAAAGTGAAGGAGGCACCTAGAACTCACGATCAGGGATCAGTATAGGAGCAATGAGGGACCAAACATATAGTGCAGCAGTAACCCATTCTGTGCAGATTCTGACCCAAACCGATGTCCACCCAACGTCAATGAGATCTGAGCTCTCCGATGAGCTGGTCCAACCCGAAAGCAGCATGGCTGAATACATGCTAGCCAAGGCAAATATCAGGTGGAAAAACGTATAGGAATAACTAACAGGTTTCACTTCTTTGTCATTTTTCTCTTTCCCTTCCTCCAACTCTTTGCCGTCAAAAAGAGGTGTCTTTTCAGCTGCACCTGTGCCACAACATTCAACAAGTTTGGAAGAACTTAAATACGTTATGAACAAGAAGCATGACAGTAGCTTTCATGAATTGTAAATTCATCTTTTATTACTTTTGACTGAATATAAAGGATTGCAAAAATCGATTGAGTACCTCCCCTGGGTGAAGATGGTGGTGATAGAAAATTTGTTGATGATCCAGCACGAAGGGCAGAGTACAAAACTGAAAGAACAGTCATTGCCATCCCAAGAAGAAGGGTACTCAGGGAGACTGCTTTCGAATGGTGAAGACCATTGCAAGCATAGCCATGAGGTTCACTGGAAAGAGCCGTGTAGCACACATAAGCACTATAAACAGATATCACCGAAGCAGGGAGGAGGCTGCCATTCACCTGTTTGAGATTTCCAGGCAAAATCATCATGTAGATAATTTTTAATAAAAACCTGATTGACAAACGAATGAAGTTTACCCTTTTATCCTTACCTTCGGGTGTAACGCAATAACTGCAAATCCAAATGCGAGAATCATTGTCATGACAATGAAGAAGATATTGAGGCCACAATCTTCACCAGAAGGGTTGAACCAAATGAACAGAACGCCTGAGAACGCAAATGCTGCAAGGTAGCATACAATTGATACGATAAGCAGTGCAATATACCTGAAACATACACATCCATAGAATGAGAGAACTCAAATTAAACAAGTGAAGGGGAAATTAATGTATTTCTACTTAAACCAACCATTTTTGCTCATCTTTTTCCACCCATGCATCATTCCATGAGTGAGTACAGTCTAACAATATAATGACTTGAACCAGTAAAAATAAGCCTGCCCCAAATTTTGATACGACACCTGCAAGCCCAGCGAAAAGAATAAAGTTTTACGACTAAAGCAGAGAAATGGTGGGAAGACAATCATTCTTGAGAATTCAGATTCATGAAAAACTAAGACGGGCTTGAAACATTCTTTATTGCACCAGGATAATGAAATGAAGCAGAAAATGCTAACAGCTCAAACTGAATTCTTTCAAGAAAAAACTAACCATAGATTGTAATGACAATGTCTGGCATGAAAAACATGAGAACGACAAGCAAAAGCCATACCACCATCTTGGCAATCCATCCACCATGATGCCAGGAATCTCGTCTGTCATTTTGGTCCTTTACTCCAATCATTATAAGCGCAAATGCTGCGAAAAACAAGAAATTCCCCATGCTCACACGAAGAACCGCTTCTGTTTGATACCACTCCTTGGTGTGAGTCTCAGAAGAGCTTATCCCTGTAAAGACGAAAACAAAAGGATATCAAAAATCAAATCCACAACAGTCGAAAACAATACTTTGAGAAGTTAAACAAGCTTCCTGCAGAATCTCAGTTATACACTGACTAGTCAATAAGACCATCCATAAACAAAATTAGGCTGAATTCCTATGATAGCAATTCCAATTTTCTATGCTCATGATAGAACTATTAAAAATGCAATTACGCAACCGATTACAATTAATCTAATTCAACCCAAAACGTCAAGACAATTACATAATTCACATATTTCGTATTAATTCATCATCGTAGAAAGTGATAATAACCCATCATTTCTTTACATTTGGGGCAATCAACTGCAAAATCCAAGAACTTGACAGTAACTACAACATGCAATTATGCATCCCATTACTAATCTAATAAAAAAAAAAAAACACAGTTCATAAATTCAGAGTCGAATTCAATTCCAACACAAAAAACTGCAAAATCTGACGATTTCTCACATACCCAATTAAATTCCGCCCCAAGAACGAAAAGGGTTGTTGGAAAAACGGAAAACTCACATGGGATCTTCTCCAAGAGAGGAGCACCAACTTCTCTGAGAATCCAAGACACGATCAGGGAAAGCCCGAAGAGACCGCAGTAAGCAAGCCTAGCCGATTTGCTGGAAATCCCAGAGGCCACAGAGCCACACAGGCCGCAGGTGGAAGCAGCGCAGCAAGACAAGCAGCACGACATCTCTCTCTGTACCGGCGTTGTTGATTATTCCGGGAAACTGGCAATCACAGGGAAGGAAGGAAGGAAGGAAGGCGTTGAAATGTTGGTGTGGGAGGAGTGACTGGTAGCTGAGAGCTCTGGTGTGATTTCTGGACCAGGCGTGACGTGTTCTGTATTTTTGCGTCGACATTGAATCACGTACTTGCATACGTAATTTGAAAGGTGAATTTACCATTTACCATTTACCGTTTACCGTTTACCGTTTACCAAGGTGGAAGATAGGTAAATTAGTGGAGTTGATAATTTACGTAGATTAATGAACCCTTCTGTTTTCCTCGTTTAATTTGGGTTAACAAGCCTCATTCTGCTTTTGTTAGCCCAAACTTGGTTTAGTCCAGGCCCAAAGACTTACTAAACCACATCCGGGTTGGCCCTGAAACAAGGGTAGGTGGTGTTTTTTAGATATTCTTTGGATGCGATCCATAATTATTAATATTCTTTGATTGAAACCTTATTAGTTTTTAATTTTTGATCGAAGTTTCTGAAATTAATGTTATAATGTATTTCTATGTAGGTTATTATATTTTTTAAAATTAAAATTTGAAATTTATAGTTGTTTGTATTAATGAGATTTTAAATAAAAAAATTTCTTAATTTGTGGATTAAAATTATTAAAATATAAATATATTGTGTGTGTGTGTGTATACATATATATATATATATATGTGTGTGTGTGTGTGTGTGTATGTATGTATGTATATAAACATGGGTACATTCATCAAAATTAACAAAAAAAAAAAATAGATATTAGGCTTAATAACATTACTAAATTTCTTTGATTAAACTTGACATGGATACATTCTCAAATGAAGAGAAAGAATGTACCATATAAGTTTAAAAATGGATTAAAAAAAATGAATAGATTTTATATAAAAAGGGTACATTTTACTACAACAAATTGGTATATTTAAGAATGGGTATACTTTAAGATTAAAAAATTGAAAAAAATTACATGAATGGATACATATAAGATTAAAAAATTGGAAACATTTTTATAAAAAATTAAGAGGTACAAACTTTTTTTTTTTTTTTTGAAATGTTTTGAATTGAAAATTAGCTAGGAGTTTAATAAAGGTGTGAGTATTAAAATCTTAAATCAATTATTAATTTTTTATTTTAAAAATTATATAACTGAAACGTAAATTCATTATTACATTAATGCTAGGGACCGTGATCAAAATCTAAAAACTAATAAGGTTTCAATCAAAGAACATTAGTAACTAAGGATTGGATACTAATTTTTCTTTTTTTTTATATTATTTTTGTTAGTACAAATGATATTCTGCACTAATTTATTTTAATTGGATAGAGAATGGTTTGTACCCGGGACAAAGTGACTTGCAAAGGAATGTGAGTTTCACACACCATATTTAGAGTCTCACACACTTCTTGTTTATTTTAGATGATAGGATTGAATAAATCAACCAAAATCAATAAACAAAATTAAACGGGAGTGTGCAATTTAACTATATCATTCATTTGTGTTATATGTATGTTTATTCATTTATACTATATTCTCTGATATAAAAAAAAATTACATTATAACACATAAATTAATAGCATTCCATGTTGATATGTTTATTGCGATAAAAAAAAAAAACTTCTCTTCCTTTTCCACCCCTCCTTTTGTGTAACGTGGACATGGTCGACCACTGGTGAACCAATCTCCCACTTCTATGGCTCTATCAGTCCATTAGATAGGTGGTATAGATGATGGTTGATTAAGATGGTACACAAGACCCTATACCTCACAGATGTAAAAATATTTATAATCTATTTAGTGAATGCCAAATACGACTAAGTATGATGATTTTTGTGAATAACTCAAGTAAAATCTAAAAGCTTAATAATTACGTCCAAAAACTAGTATGAATCTATACTATGAACAAACTTATACTGTTAGGCAGCCTGAATCACTTGGAAAAGCACTTCGGACTAGCAAATGAGCTTCTCCGACTAGTATAGCAGCTTGATTCTGAATAAAAACACTTCAGTTGGGATATACAAGGTTCGAATCCACATCTTGGTTAATAATTTCGCAGACCAAATTCGCTTCGAGGTTAGAACTGTTGACTATCACTGACTAAGACGAAATGCCAACTCAGCTTAGTCTGTTGAGATATATGGTTATGCGGTTAAGATAAAAGTTTAGCTTGTAAGAAAAGAAACATCAGCTATATAAGCTGCTATTCTCTGTAATAATGGTTACGAAGTATTTTTCACTCATACAATACAAGATTACCTTTTTCCTTTGTTTTCTCTCTACCTCCATAGCCTTCTTGTTCTTTAAGCTTACTACTATAACTTTATGTATTCTTGTTCTATATTGTTAACATGGTATCAGAGCCATGGATTGATCTTTGGTGATCCTTTTCCGTTGTGGGTGAATGATTTTTCGTACAAGCTTGGATGTTCGAATGCGTTTTCTGGGTTTCAAGATTCAAGTTCTCAGGTTTTGTTTTCGATTACTAGTTTTCATTCCAGCATATCAACTGTTTTTGATAATGTCTATGTGAGAATTTTCATGGGAATTTCGGAAGTGTCAAGGCCGATAGCCGTATACTTCAGATTTGTTAAGACTTCAAGGCCGAATGCCATATTTGAGAATCTTTAAGGCCAATTGCCATTTCTCAGTTGCTATGAAATTGTTGATTGTATTTCCCTAAGGCCGATTGCCGGGATTTTATGTTGTCTTAAAGGTTGTCTGTTAATTAGGTTTTCTGTGATATTGTATCTTGTGCTCCTTCAAGGCCAAAAGCCGGAGTATAAAGTTGTTTGAAAGTGGTCTTTCTTGCATGGTTGCTTTGTGACGAGTTGAATTCTTGGTGGGTGATATTTGGTTGTTTGTGAGTTTTGATTCAATTCTTGAAGTTCTTGTGATAATGGCTGAGACTACGGTAAAGATTGAAGGGTTATTAGGAATGCTAACAGTAAAGCTAGGTGATGATAATTTTGTTAAGTGGGGTTATCAGTTTCAATCAGTACTAATAGGATATGATCTATTTGATTTCTTCAATGGTGAATTTGTTTGTCCACCAAAATTTGTGATTGATACAGAATCGGGAGTTACAAAAGAAATTACTTTGGCTTATAAAGAATGGGTTAAAAAGTATTTAGCATTGCTCAGTTTATTGATTCTTACGTTAACTGATGATGCTATGGATCATGTAATTGGATGTAAAACATCTCGTGAGGCTTGGACAGTTTTGCAAGAAAGATATGGGTCAGTTTCAAGAGTTCGAATTAATCAGTTGAAAACTGAGTTTCACACTGCACAGAAAGGTAGGGAAACTGTGGATAAGTTCTTGTTAAGATTGAAAACCATAAGGAAGCAGTTGGTGTCTGCAGGAGAGAAAATTACGGACAATGATTACATAATTGCAGTGTTGACTGGTTTGCCAACTGAGTTTGAAATGATCAAAACTGTAATTTTGGCAAGGGAAACACCAATTTCTATGAAAGATTTTAGGGTACAATTGTTGAGTGCAGAAGGAACAATTGATGCAAGGATTCAATCTGTAACATCCTCTATGTCTGCAATGTATGTCAATGGTGTAAATTCTGATAATCAAAGGTTCCAAGGTGGTTTTGAACAGGGAGAAAGTTCGAATGCTTAAAGATTTCAAGAAGATCAGTTCAGTCATGGTTTTCAAGGAGGATCTGGTTTTATGGAACATGGGAATAGAGGTCTCCATCCTCAATAGAGAGCTAATAATTACAATAACAGAAAGTTTTCCGGTGGTAATAACTTTTCTGGTGGGAGTAATAACTCACAATCTTATTCTGGTGGAAATAATGTGGGAAATAGAAGTGGAGGAAATGGACGAAATTTCTATCGCAATAATAATTACTCTACTAGAGGTCATTCTTACTCTATTGGAGGGAATTCTTCTGGTGAGAATAATAGGAATTCATTCTCTGGTAATGGTTCAAACATGGGTAAATGGAATGGCAACACTAGTTTCAAGGCTGGTGTTTCTCCTGAATGTCTGATTTGCTCTAGGAGAGGGCATACAGCTCCTAATTGCTACTATAGGTCTGAAAATGGAAATTCTCAATCATCTGGGATTACAATGTGTCAAATTTGTGGAAAAATGGGGCATATTGCTCTGGAATGCTACCATAGGAACAATTATGCATATCAAGGGAGTCCACCACCAACATCTCTTGCTGCAATGACTGCACAAACACAAATTGATCAGAATGAATGTACTTCGGTAGATAATGGTCATGGTTTTGATATCAATGATCAGTGGATAATTGACACAGGTGCAACACATCATATGACAGCCAATATCAATAATCTCAATCAAGCTATACCGTATCTTGGTAATGAACATATAACTGTTGGTAATGGTGAAGGATTAAAAGTTTCTCATATTGGTTCTAGTACACTGTCTACTTTTAAACATCCTTTGTTACTAAAGAGTGTGTTATATGTTCCTCGGATTACTGTGAATTTACTTTCTGTTAAACAGTTATGCAAAGATAATGGATGTTGGTTTATATGTGATGCTGAGGTATTTTTTATACAGGACAAGGCAACAAGGGTGATCCTGTACCAAGGCAAGAGTGATGGTGGGGGACTGTTCACTATACCAGTCAATGTCTTTTATAATTCCTTTGCTGCAAGGTTGAATAAGTGTGCTGCTTTTCTTGGAAAGAAGGTTCAAGTTTCAGCTTGGCATAAAAGATTAGGACATCCTGCAGAAGATATCCTGGCACTTATGTTGAAGAATTCACAGATTTCAATTAGTTCATATTCCTGTCCTTCTCTTTGTGTATCTTGTATTCATGGAAAAATGACTAAACAATCTTTCCCTGTAAAGCAAGTTAGGGCTACACATTTGTTTGAAAAGATTCATTCTGATATATGGGGTCCATCTCCAAAGTTGTCCATCGAAGGATGTAGGTACTACATAAGCTTTGTAAATGAATTCTTAAGGTTCTTGTGGATTTTTCCAATGAATAATAAATCAGAGGCATTTCAGATATTTGTCAAGTTTTACTCTTTTATTTTGAATTAGTTCAATGTATCTATCAAGTGCTTACAAACAGATGGAGGGGGAGAATGTATGAGTAAACAGTTGTGAGTTTCCTTGGAGATAAAGGAATTGTTCATATGGTGTCATGTCCATATACCCCTCAGTAAAATGGTCTTGCTGAGAGAAAGCACAGACATGTGGTTGAGACAGCCATAACTCTGATGTCTGATGCAAATTTAAATTCTACATTCTGGTATCATGCATGTTCACATGCTGCATTTTTAATTAACAGAATGCCATGTAGAACACTGCAAATGAAATCACCGTATCAAGTCTTATTTGGTCAAAATCCAGAGATACATCATCTAAGAGTTTTTGGATCAGCTGTATATCCATTGTTAAGGCCCTATAATGAGAGCAAACTGCAGCAGAGATCTGCTCAATGTGTTTCTTGGTTTTGTAATGGGATACAAAGGTGTAGTATGTTACAATCTGAATACAAAGAAATTGATATTGTCCACACATGTTATACACGATGAAGAGATATTTCCATGTAAAAATATGGGAATTCCAACCACAACAAGACAACAGCAATCCGGTAATGTTTCTCAAGTTCCAATTGTAATACAGTTGCCTCATATTGGCTCTGCAATTCAAAATGCAGATCTACACTCCTCAAGACATCTAAGTCATGAATTTTCTGGACACAATGACACACTATCTTCAGGAAACTCATTGAATTCTGGTAGTACAAATCCGGTTGTTTTAGCACAAAATGAATTAGTATCTGCCACTAATAATTCTATGGAATCAGTACACTCTGGAATTGCAAATCTCAGTCCCCATCAACACCATCACAATCAATTTGGTACAGAAGTTATATCACAATCACCTTTGTTTCCTGTCCATCAAAGTTCTCAATTGGAGGTAATTCTTCCTCACATCTCATCATCATCTCATCATTCATTATCTAGAAATTCTAGTGATCCTCAAACTGTGACATCAGTTCATCCAATGGTGACAAGATTAAGGAGTGGTGCTATAGAGAGGAGACATTATGTTGGTTTCTTAGCTAGTTTTCCTGAACTTCACACATTACAATTGAGTGATGAGGATTTATTTCATGGAGGATATTCTTTTATTTCAGAAGTTTCAGATGCAACTGAGCCTTCATGTTTCAGGAAAGCTGTTTCAATTCCTCAGTGGCAATGTGCAATGCAAGAGGAATATGACTCACTGAGAGCTCAAGGTACGTGGATTTTAGTTCCAGCACCTGAAGATAGATCTATTGTTGGTAGCAAGTGGGTTTACAAAGTTAAAAAGAACCCAGATGGAAGTGTGTCAAGGTACAAGGCCAGATTAGTTGCACAAGGTTTTTCTCAGGAGCATGGAGTTGATTAAACTGAAACCTTCAGTCCAGTAGTGAGGCACACCACAGTGAGAATTATACTTGCTATTGCTGCAATGAATCATTAGGAATTGAGACAATTAGATGTCAAGAACGCATTTTTGCATGGAGATTTGCAGAAGGAGGTGTATATGAAACAACCACAGGGCTTTGTTGATAGTTCTCATCCAACACATGTATGAAAATTGTTAAAGTCTCTCTATGGTTTGAAACAAGCTCCAAGAGCTTGGAATTCAAAATTTACAAGTTATCTTTTAATCATGGGACTTCTGCATCACTCTCAGATTCAAGCTTATTCATGAAAATAGAAGATGGTGAGACTATTATACTACTGTTGTATGTAGATGATATAATTCTAACTGGATCCAATTCTGTCAAAATCCAGAAAACAATTGAAGAACTCTCTGCTGTGTTTGACTTGAAGGATTTGGGAAGACTTACATATTTTTTGGGTTTACAGATTCAATATAGGCAGAATGGTGACATTTTTGTGAATCAAGCTAAGTATGTAAAGGATTTAATTCACAAGGCAGGTTTGGATTCTTGTAAATCAGCAACAACTCCTTGCAAACCTCATCATCAATTACTTGCTTCAGAAGGAACAATGTTATCAGATCCAAGTATGTACAGAAGTATTGTAGGATCACTACAATATCTGACCTTTACTAGGCCTGATATTGCTTTCTCTGTCAACTCAGTGAAGGATGATTTTGTGAAAACATGTTCATTTGAGCAACATCATATAGCATGCAATTAACAATTAAAGGCGGAATCATGCTTGCATGCACTCAAATACAAAACATTACCCATGAAATTCAAAGCCTAGTAGATTGGTGAACCAAGACTCAACTCAAAACAAAGTGAGTTGAGAAATTATACCTTTGTAGATTCCTCTTTGAATAAGCAAAGGCCAATCACCCAAAGAGAAGGCATTCATTCCTTGCATCTTAGATCTATGGATTTGGATGGATGAAATGGTTCTCCAAGTTCCCAAAATTGAGAACCTCTAAGTCTCCACACCAAGGTAAGATTGATGAAGAAATGAGTGACCTTGGAGGAGAAAGATTACTAGCTAATCCCCTCCAAGGGGGCCTCTTTAGAGAGAAATGAGAGCTTTGTGTTCTCTCCAATTTCTTAAAAAGAAACCCTTAATGAATTTTGGCTATAAAGTTCTTTATATAGTCACTTCTTTAAGTGACCTAAAGAACCAAAAACCCTAATTCATATCAAATGGCCGGCCACAAAAGGGATTTGGGCTTTTGGGCCCTTGTGAATCTTTATTCATTAAATTGTCATACAACTTAAGTCAATGAGCTTGACGTTCGAAGCCCATTGGGCCTTAAGGTCCAAAACTATCCCGAGGTCTTTAATGAACTTGTTCGTTTGATTAATTAACATATTAATTAATCCTTGCCATAAACAATTAAACCATTTAATTATTCTTACTCATATCCATTGTTTCTTCAATCTCCACCTTACACGGTGTACGATCCATTAGGTTCCTTTTAGCAAGGCAGTGGGCGATTAAAACCATTTCAAATCGATTGTGAATTGAAACTTACTTTCAATTCTCCCTTTAGTGATTATACACGTTTAGGACTTCCACAAACCATGAGTGACACCTAGCAGCATATCATGGTTACCCAAGCTAATCAGAAGAGGTGGAGAACCTATTCAGTTTAGGATTACAAATGCAATACGGTCTTTCTCTAATACAATACTCTTGACCACATTGTTTGGTTTGATAGTTTATTCATATCTACTATCCAATGTGATTCGTGTGCTTATATGATTACCTTGAATGTGATTTGGAACGACTTCCTAAATCTCATTCATACTCTGGCCAGAGATTCTTAATCATATCATAGAGTATTCTCCCTCAAACAGTTTGAAGGTTAGAGATCCCTTGTTGCGCATTCACTTGCCTTCATGGCTAAGTGGCTTAACCCCAACTATGCCGTGGACACCCTCCTTTTGGAGTGACTTTTGACATAATCAAAGATCAAGGACTTAACCACAAGACAACTATGATGCCTCAGGTCAAATGACTACTTTGCATTATCCCAACCATGAGTTCTCATGTGACATGAATATGAGAACTCTTCGTTGATCGTGTTCAGTGAACTCATTCTCTATTGAGCACCTACGTACTTGTCTTGATGTCACACACACCAATGACTCGAGACTAGTCACTCTCCCTGAGAGAAGACACAGCACGTACTGA